CTACATGTCAATCACTAATTAATATGTATTAATATTTACACTCTAGTATTATTATATTATTATTATGAATGATGGTATTATGATGAGAAACCTGTATTAGTGGACCACTAAACAACACTTTTAATTTAACCAATGCATTCGTTTTTTTTTTTTACAAAGTTTAAAAAAGAGAAAAAAATAACCAATAGGTTTTGGTGCCTGTGTCCGGACAGGTAGAAAACTGTCAATGTAGCAAGTCTTCAACATAATCATATAAAACAATAATAATTAAACCAAACAAGAGGAACAAAAACAAGTGATCACATATAAAAAAAGACATGAAACAAATTGTTTTAAATGAAATGTGTTAAACATATTTAACTTTTTTTAATTTACAAATGGCCGCGCCCATTTTTACGACAAGAAAAAGGTGGATACATAAAGATTTTATTACAACATCTGAAATATGATTGCTAATTGTTAACCTCAATTATTGGCATAATGCTACAATCTATTATAATAATATAGCAGTGCATTAAAGCGAGTAAAATTTGAATGATCAAGTTCCTGAGTGTGTTTTATTTCATTCTGGTGTGAACAGGCCTTAATTCATGTAAAGTGGTAACACTACTTCCATGAAGATCAACCAACTAAAACTTTCAGTTCTAATACAATGGCATCCAGACAAGGTTAGGATCACGTGTTCTTGGAAAAATGATAATTCTTGATTAAATGTGTCTGTCTTTGTGACAACACCAGTCCCCTAAATGTTTACCTACTAAATTTCTATGAAGGTCAGTAGTACATCATGAAGTTGTTTTTTAATTTTAATGATCATGTATTATATACAGATCTGTGAGCCTTGAGGTGCAGTCACAATTTCTGTCGTTCAGCTAAATTACTGTGTAAGCTGTGCTTCAAACATCAATACACTTCTGACAACAGGCAATGGATCTTTTTGTTTTTTGCACATGGAATTTCACTAATATGTCTGCAACTGTGAAGTGCAGCTGTTGCACATCTGAAATGCATGTGAAGATGTTTGTGAGTCTCACTCACCCTCGAGTGTCTGTGGGGTTGGTGCCGGTGCTTCCTCTACAGCAGGTGGAGCTTCCACAGGTGCTGGATCGGACTTCTTGGCTTTAGCTTTAGGCTGCTTGGACTCCTTAGATGCTTCTGACAATGAAGAGATTTGCAGGGGTTCGATCTTTCCCTATATATCAAAAAAATATCTTAAATTACTTGACATCACTGAAGGCATGCATCAAAGACAGACAAAGGAAAAGTGAAAGTGATTGTAACTCTTACTGGTTTCTTCTGTAAAGGGACGAGTGGAGGAGGGGGTGGCCCAAGTGCCATCTCAAACAGTTGATCTGAGTACGGAACGCTCTTCTCTATATTTGCCCGAAACTTCGGGTCCCATTTGGCATAAAGGATTGTACTGCCAAGACCACCACCGACCGTTAAAAGGCTAGCCGCCACTATTTTCCCAGCATTAGATCTGCAGAACAAAAAGACCATATTTAAGATGCATTTGACGGTCGGTTTTTTTCTTCCACACACACACCAGACCAATGTCAACCTAACATTCATTTAAAGATGTCTAATGCATTATGTGGTAAAACAAAATAATGCAAAAACACTCAACTTTTTAAAATAAACAAATCAGCAATATCATTGTAAGCTTGTGTGTTTAAGGTTAAATTCACAGTTTGATGTCATACCCAGAGTCTCCAGCCGTGGTGTATCTGCGGCAGTGCTGCAACGGATGGGCCTTCACTTTCCCCCACACACATTGCTGCAGAGAAACAAACAAACAAATCATAATCTCACATGCACTACAGCAAAATATACTGCATCATAAGCTGCAGTATTAAAAGTAATACTTTCTTTTTACACTGACCACAACCACTGTTTCACATCAATTAATAATAAACAGCCATTATTTCAGATGTAAATGCTGTTCAGTGAAAACAGGTTTCCAATGTTGCTCTTTTTGTGACTTTAAAAACCAAACAAAAAATTGTGCATTCTCAAAACATGATTATCATCATCATCACTGTGGATCAAGCATCCAGTAAAACACAATAAACAACAATGAATGAATGAACGGCTGACCCCAAACATTAGATTGTTTCTTCAGTGCCTATAATAAGACGGTTTAAAGTATAGCAGCTGTTATACATAGCATCGATCATTCATTAGACTAATTTGCATAAAAGCACCACAGTAGACAAGAAGGCAGCGCTTGTGTGAGGAGACTTTCTGAACTTCTCACCGGCGGCAAGGTCACGTCCTTCCATTGGACAAAACCAATAAACAGTTCACGGTGTGTACCGGGTGTAGCTCTTTGATAAAATGTTTTACGTGAACAAGATTTCGGTTAAATGCTATTAAATATAAATAAAGGTGAATACATTAAAATGAAAGATTTTCAGACAGCTGTTAGCTAGGTTGGTTATCCGGGCGACAGAAAATATGAATCATACACAGCCCGCCCATATTTACGCTAGCGCACATGCTGGATTTCTATTCGTGGAGGGAGGCGTCACTCTCGTAAATGTGAAATATCATTGGTTCGAAGAATCTGCCAATCACACTGTGACCGCCTCTTTCGACCCCACGTTACGTCGTTGACGTAAAGCAGCATTCTATCCTGGTGTGCCACTTAAACGGCAAATAATAACGTCTCAACAAATGAAAGTATCAACTCATTAAGAAGTTTAGTTGAACATAATCACCGGTTAATTAAACAAACATTACAGACCCTATTATAATCCGTAATTGTACGATACGCGTAAGAAACGTCGGGCCTCGCTGTGGGTCACTGAATGACCGCTCTAGCAGAATACAACTCACCCGCGCTGCTGCATGTGCCCCTTTCCAACAGACGCGCAGCATGCTTGCCTCTTATTCTGGATGTTGGATTTCAGACTACAAATATGCCACCGGTTTCAGCAAAACATTATAAAAGTGATCAACCTCGACACACTGTAGATTAGCTCCAGCACTGGTGCACGCAGTGACAGAGCAACGCACGCGCGATAGGCACGCCCAACGTGATACATACGTCATTAGTTCATAGAAAAACAATATTCAGTTTAAAAATGATTTCCTTCATTGACTTGGTCCTTGTATGCAATGATCCATATTCTTCTATTAATAATTTTTTTGCTCAAATTATAGAAAGCACGTGTCATTCGTTGATGGTGCATACTATAGTTAGTTTGTTACTAATGTAAAATACAACTAAGTGATCAAGTGTAAATTCTTTTTGTCATGTTATTTTTATTTTATCGTTCATATTAATTTTCATTTTGATGACAGTGGTAAATGTTAAGGCAAATGTCACGTGAGATCGCTTTTCCCCCAAACCCCCCAAAAATCTAAAGTAAAAATATATTTTGCATATCCGCACTGTGGCATTATTTTCAGCACAAATAAGCACATTTCCCGCAAATTATGTAAAATACTGTAGCCACATTCGCATTACTGTAATATTAAAAAATATATGTGACCCTGGACCACAAAACCAGTCATAAGGGTCGATTTTTTAAAATTGAGATTTATACATCATCTGAATAAATAAGCTTTCCATTTATGTATGGTTTGTTAGGATAGGACAATATCTGGCCGAGATGCAACTGTTTGAAAATCTGGAATTTGAGGGTGCAAAAAAATCAAAATACTGAGAAAATCGCCTTTAAAGTTCTCCAGATGAAGTTCTTAGCAATGCATATTACAAATCAAAAAATAAGTTTTGATATATTTACGGTAGGAACTTTACAAAGTATCTTAATGGAACATGATCTTTACTTAATATCCTAATGATTTATTATGTGCTCCAGGGTCACATATAAATAGAAAAAGCAAAAGCACCTCAATAAACTTCATTAATACCTGTAGTATCATATTTTATTATATTTATTTCTATTTCTATTTGATATGGCCAATTATTGTAAGAGACGCAAGGCGAAAGTGCAAGGAAGACTCCTGCATCTTTAATATGTAATGACCAGTGTGCGTTACTTGTAATGCGTTACCCCCAACACTGGTAATGACTACAGTTGTGTTGATTATGTGTGGGCTAACTCATGTTTACTTACCATTTTAGTTTAAAATGTTAGTGATGGAACGAAACTGAGAGGATCCAGGTGTACCACTGGTGAAAAAAAATGGACTTTATTGAATTGAACGCAATTACAGGTTTAAGTTCCCAAATCACTTTTAAACTCTGACAAACAGCAAAAGTCAAGGGGGTAAATTCTTTATTAGTGTTAGTGGCAAAGTGCTGTTCAGAAATAAACAAATTAACATGCTCCAACAAGACAATAACTTAAATTGCAGATGGAGCCTTTAAGAATTGCATGTCAATGCCTAAGCCATTTTCAATTGTGCACAGGGCAGTTTTGTTATGTAAAGCTATTCTTCTTTTAAAAAAAAAACAATGACATGCCCAGACGGATAATCCGTTATATAAAGACTCACAAGTCTTCAATTCCCCAATGACTTAGTGTAGCTCAGTTTTAGACAGATTATTCACATATTTGGAGACACACTGAACACAAGATGTAATTCTCAAGTACAGGAACATATAGATTCTCTTCTGTCTGATTGGGATGTATGATGAGTGCTACAACAGAAACTTTTCAACCATATGCACTGAATTTACCTTTTGCATAATTGCATAATTTAGCTTTTAAAATCTATTATTTTTTTATCTACGTACAAGGTACAGTGGTGTGAAAAGGTGTTGGCCCCCTTCCTGATTTCTTATTTTTTTGCATGTTTGTCACACTTGAATGTTTCAGATCATCAAACAAATTAAAAAAATAAGAAATCAGGAAGGGGGCCAACACTTTTTCACACCACTGTATATATGACCCAAATCAAGTTTTTCCCATTAAAAAAAAAGATTGAAAAAAGATTGGGAAGTATGAATTTAATAACTGTGCAAGTTAAAACCACCAACAAAAACCCAGGAGCCAATGTTATGAATCTAAAGAATAAAGATGAACACATCAAGTTGTCTGTTTTTTTTTTCTGAACTTCCAGGTGGGCAGGTTCTTGATGTAGTCTATTGGAACCAGCGGGCGAAGCCAGAGGTCTGGGAATGCCAATCTTTCCAAAAGGAAATTGGGATCGTCGTCCCAGTCTGACTCAAAGTTCTGGAACGAGGCAATGGGATGTACCAAGTAGCTGGTGTACCAATCCCAGAGACTTGACAACCACTCTAGGTTGTTTGCGTTTTGGTCTTCGTTGCTACATCTTCTTTTCTTCTCAAAGTAGTCGATGAGAAGGCCATGGGCTAGATAAGTGCTGAGGAAGAGAGCTGGGTGAGAAGAATAGAAGGTCCAGTCGGCCCGGACCCAAGAGGCAATAGTAGTGGTGTCTGCGTAACGCAACAGTTTCAGGCTGTACTCATAAAAGTTATCCAGGTATGGAAGCTGAAGAAAACCAAGGATGGGCAGCCAGGAAATGATGAGTAAGGAATTATAAGTCCCTAGTGTGCTGATTAAAACCACAAAGCGTTTTATGGTGGCTCCCTGTGTAATGAAAAGGTCCATCCAAGCCATTAGATTGACCATAACCAAGCTCAAAATGAACAAGTCATTGACTTCTGGTTGTACGGACCGAAGAAATGCATCCATGGCATGCAAGGAAATGAATTCCCCGGTGCTATTGCCGTATCTGTAGATGCCTTCTGGTGTTTTGAGGATGTATGAGGGCATTTGCTGCACCCCAATCTCGTCCAGACAGGTGGTGTTGTCCCAGTTGCGCACGTCGACGAAGATGAACTCGATGCGCCCCGTGAATTTGATGCTGAGAGCTGAGAAAAACGACGGGGGCTGAAGCAGTCTGGCGAACAAGAACATCTTCACTGGCTGCTTTTCCATCTGATACCAGTCATCCATTAATTGCTCAGAGAAACGTATGGTTTTGATGCGCGAGGCAACATGCGCAGTCATCCATTTGAAGATGTGCTCTGTTTCGATGCGCCTGCCATTGTACTCCTTCAACATGACCTTCCCTTTGGATGCATTGGTCTGCGGGACAGACATGATGAGGGTGGACTTCATCCAGCCCCGTTTTTGGCAATACCTGACAAGGGGGAATAAAAACAACATTTTCAGACAATGACACATCTTCTATGCTTTGAATTTGATTTGAAATATTTTGAATTCATTCATTTAAATTTATTTACATATTTCTTGTGTGGTTTAAAGTAGAAGAAAAAATGTCCTGGGGTCAGAATGAAGGAAGAGCATCTCATTAAAACTTTGTCATTTTGCAAAATCTCTTAATTGCTTATTTAAACATTAATGAGTGAAGCTATTTGGATTGGAATTATAATTCCTATTTTAAAAACTTTTGTCCAATACATAAAAGTGAGGGTGGTGTAAATGTAGGAATTTTTTTTTTTATCGAAAAGAAATGTATTAGGAAATTATATTACAAAGAGAACCCCTGCAGACCCTCAATATATGATAACGTGTCCAGTTTATGACATGGCAAAATCAGTTCAAGTTTGAAAAATGTTAGAAAAATCCAGGTGTCTGTGAAAACAATGATTACTACACCATTATGTAAAGTTACTACTTGTTGATTTTGTTTTAGAAAAAAAAAAATTAACATGAATATATAAATATAATTTCTTAATTTCTAAGAGCACGCAAATACTTTATTTATTTATTTTTTTTTAGAAATGTATATGGAGAATGATATATAGTTTTAACATTTTGTAATAAAAAATAAAAAAACACATTTGGGCACATTTCCCATTTCAAACATGCCATTCTTGGTTGATCAGCTCACAGGAATGTGAATAACAGCCTACTTTCAGTTGTTACAGGTGTACTGCTGAACATAAATTGAGTCTTTCTTACCTTGAGTCACTCGAGCAGTTGAAAGTGCCTGTTCGAATGCCAAACTGAGAAACTTTCTGTACCATTTTGCCCCAGTTGGCAGTGCTCAACAGTGGATTTCGATCTTGGGCTATTACCTAAGAAGTAGAAAATTAAGCATTTGTATATGAAGTAAAAGTATTTAATATATATTTTATGCATTATGTAAACAAAAACATGTCTTTAAAAGTACCACACATGTCTATTTTGTGTACAATACATTTAGGATGCATAAATTTGGGATAATGGCTAATAATGATAATGGATCATTTTGCTGCAGCAACTGATACTAAACCCTGTTGGGTTCTATGCTCACACAAGCAGACATCTTAATGTGTGTGAGGACAGGACAGAGACATTACATTTCATTGAAATGAGTAGGTTGAGTAGGCAGTGGTTTCAGTTTCTGTACCGCCTCACTAAAAATGAAACTTCTTTAACTATTGTCATGCCCTCATCTCATTCAGACAGCAACAATAAAATCATAACAGCAACATCTATCAGAACTCAATTTCTTAACTGCACAGAATGTCAGTTCTGAATGATATGCGAGTAAATAAATAATACATTTTAGTCATCCATTTTTGGGCGAGTTTCTCACATTTAGATAGATATAGGGTTAATACTAACCTGAACTAACCAGATACCATCTTTAGTGTCTTCCACTAATTCATAAAAGTGCATTTCTCCATTGAAAGTGGTGCTGGAGTCAGATCCCACTTGCTCCTTCTCATTCTTGAGAGCGGAGTAGAGCTCCCCTTGCATCAGCTCCCCTTCAAAAGCAAACATTGCATGATCATGATCAAACTGAATTGTGCATCAGCGTATACGTGTCAATGAAAGTAAAGAGCTTGTTTGAAAATCATATTTCCCATGTTACAAAAACTGCATTCTTCCATCTTAGAAACATTGCCAAGCTACGAAACATGATACCTGTTTCTGATGCAGAAAAGCTAGTTCATGCATTCATGACCTCTAGACTGGACTATTGTAATGCACTGCTAGGTGGTTGTCCTGCATCTTCAATAAACAATCTACAGGTAGTCCAAAATGCAGCGGCTAGAGTCCTTACCAGGTCAAGAAAATATGATCATATTACCCCAATTTTACAGTCTCTGCACTGGCTGCCTATTAAGTTCCGTATCAGTTACAAAATATTATTACTTACCTACAAGGCCCTTAATGGGTTAGCTCCTGCGTACCTAACTAGTCTTCTACCACGCTACAATCCATCACGCTCCCTAAGGTCGCAAAACTCTGGACTTTTGGTAGTACCTAGGATAGCAAAGTCCACTAAAGCAGGTAGAGCTTTTTCGCATTTGGCTCCCAA